CGTGGTGCGGCCCCCGCCGCTGGTCGTACTGGTCGAAGAGGTGCTCCCAGGCGTAGATGTTGACGGCGCCGGCCGCCCCGGTGATGAGCACCATGAGGGTCAGCTTGACCATGTGGCTGACCTGCACCAGCATGATGGTGGCCACCAGGGCCAGCAGGGCGATGTAGCTGTAGTACTTGGGGTGCTCGCCGCAGCCGCCCGCGCGCGGCGCCGTGCCGTTGCCAAGCCCCACGTAGTCCTGCCGGCAGCTGAGCTGGGGACACGAGGGCAGGGTGAGCGGGGGGCACCCCGTCATGGGCCACGCATGCAGCTGGACACGGTCACGGGTCTCCCCGCAGGCGTCAGGCACCAGGGCGTGTGGTGGGACCCCAGGAGGTGCCATGTTTGGGGGTCAGACTAGATGATCCCTAGAGGTCCCTTCCAACCTTAACGATTCTGTGCCCCCTTGCTGCGGGATGAGGATGGAGGCCCCTCCGCGCCTCACCATGTCCACGATGTCAGCCATGGTGACGATGACGATGGCCGCCATGGCCCAGGTGTTGCGCGCCCAGCGGGTCCGGTCGATCCACGTGGAAAAGGCCACGAGCTTCTTGGGAAAGACCTACAGGGAGAGGAGAGAGAACCTTTATCTGAGTAGGATATGGACTGATTCAAGGCATGTGGATGCCCAGCCATGCAGAAAACCGCAGTGTCCTCTTGCGGGCATGGAGACAGCACCCACGATCTCCAGCATGGAGCCATGAAGGGGAAGGGGACGGTGCCATCCGGGATGCATCCCGGTGGCCTCTTACCCTGGGGAAAACGGCAGCCAGGGAGCAGACGGTCAGGATGAGCAGCAGGCTCTCCCCCACCACGAAGGTCACGTAGTTGGCCACCAGCCTGTGGAGAGCGCACGAGGAGAGGTGGGGACATGCACCAAGGCCCCGAGGGGACCCGGCCGGACCCCCTCGCCCTGCCCGCCTTACCAGGGGTCAATGCAGATCTCCACCAGCGCCGTGAAGAAGAGGACGACGCAGGAGCAGCTGAAGGCCGCGCCGCTCTGCTTCTCCTTCTCCACCGAGTAGCGCGTCTCCATCTCGGGGTCCATGAAGCGCATGGAGAGGCGGAAGGTGCTCTTCCCCTTCAACCTGCCGCCCGCTCCGTCAGCGCCCGCCGCCCGCGGGGACGCACAGGGGGACGCACGGAGGGACGCACGGAGGGGCGCGCGCGGCGCCGGGAGGGGAGCACTCACGCCTGGAGGGACTCGCGCTCCAGCAGCGCCTCGTTGAGCAGCTTGTTGAGCTCCTGCTCGTTCTGCGACGCGTCGATGACGCGCTCGGGCAG